ACAGGATTGCAGCTTACTTAGATAAGTAAACTGAAATCTTCACAGTAATCATGTTTTGGAAAAAGAGTTCACACCATCTCCCAGCAATAGCCAGGGGTACTATAGGCAGGAACCATCTTAAAAAGGGACTAATTGTCTGAAATTAGGCTGCTCTAGGGGTCAGACACCCATGTAGAGTCCCATCTATTGCATGCCACAGATATTCCATCCACTACATTGGTTCAGTGGGCAACTACCTTGTAAAGCTAACTTGGCTCAGCAGTGACTGACTCAAACCTGCTGGGTGCTTTGCACTGTAGGGGATGAGTATTGTGACAAAGAGGAGAGTGGAAGACATTGTCTTGCAAAACCAGAAAACAAGGAAGTTTGCCCTCTGAGACCAGGGCCATGGCCAGTCACATGTGGATTCATGCCTGTGCCAGGACTGAAAGCAGCCTTCCAGGTGTTCCCATTCTTCCTTCCATTGCCCTGTATACAGGTGCCTGGTACTAACAAGATGGGGAAGCAACCCCATGTTTCCACTGCGGCCCCCAACAGGAGCATGCTGAGGGGCTCTTGAGCAATAATGAGTATCGAACTGTCACCCTATCCCTAGAGCATTTGGCCAAAGGAGGTTGGAGAGAACTTTTGCCTGACACTAGGCATGTCCCACTCCTGCTTGCTCTTAGAAGCACTTCAGCTAAAGGAGTCAATAAGAAAAAAAGTACCAGCTGTCACCCTATTCCTGGGAATACACAGTCAAAGGAGGTGTTTTGCTGGCTTTGACCATATCCAGCTCTAACTTGCTCCCTGGTGAACACTAAAGCTGAAAGAGCAGCAGAAAAGTTCCTTTGGTCATCCTGACCCTAGGCATGTTGGCTGGGGGAATGTGAGGCCCTGCTCCTGGACAGGCACTCCCACTGCAACATCAGTAAGGAACACCACAATTCTTACTGTCACCACACTTTTGTGGTTCCACAGGCCACCCTTGTGCCTTGCCTCACCATGCACTGCTGTCAGGAATGAGTGTGAACACCACAGAGGATATCTGTGGTTCCTGCCATCATCTCTCTCATGAAGCTCCTGAGCCCACATCAGATTGGTTTGAGAACAAGTGCTTGATGCCCTTCACCACTACTAGTTCAGACAGGGTCTGAGACACAAGTGACTGAGCCAGTATCAACAGTGCCTGAGGAAACTCCTGTCACACAAGTTTAGTCAATATTCTCATTTGTAGGAGTAGCCACATATGGGATCCTACACACTCTATCATCTATACCACACTTGCCTGAACTTTTGAGTATTCCCATTCTGCCTGACCTGCAACTCTGATATAATATACGCCATGCCCGAAGTCACTAGTAATAGCCAAAGAAGCTACAAGGAGACCACATATCTCCTTGGTGTTGAAGTGGAAATGAAGGCAACACTGCATAACAAACTGAACCCCAAGACTCATCCTTAGGAAAAAGCCACTTAGTAAGAAGGCCAGCCCATGAAAGGGATGAGATATTTGATTCACCAAATGTGCAAATCTCAACATAGTAACACAAGAAATATGACAAAAAACAACATAATGTTATACCTTCAAGTGATCATCTCTCTAGATTCCAAGAAGTTGAACTGGATGAAATGTCTGATAAAGAACTCAAAATAATGGTTATAAAATACAATAGGGAGAGAGAATGAAATCTAAATAAACAAATGAAATTTGAAAGAAAATGCAGGATATAAATATAAAAGTAAGCAGAAATATAAGTTTTTGAAAAAAATCTTGGAGATAAAACTTAATTATTCAAAAAAATTCAGTGAAAGTCTCAACACCAGACTACATAAAGGAAAAGGAAGAATGTTTGACCTTGTAAAAAAGATCTGAAATGTCCTAATGTGGACCAAAAAAATGGATGAAGAGAGTATTCAAGATCTTTGGGACACCATTAGGCTAACAAACATCCTCATCACTGGAATGTGTGAAGGTGAGATAAAGGTTAAGGACATAGAGAAAATGTTCAATGAAATAACGGCACAAAACTTTCCCAATCTTGGGGAAGATGTGGGCATCCATGTACAAGAAGCCTATAGAACCCCATAGAGACATGGATGCTATTCTATAAAATTTCCCAGAGATAAACATCTGCCACTAAATTGAGATGACAATGACAGTCCAAATAGTGACTCAGACAAACCCAGCTTGGTAAGTAAACATATTTATTATGGGATATTAACAGAGTGGTGGATATCTCATAGGCCACAGTACTAATAAATTCACTAACGCCCCCGTGATGAGCTATTGATTTTATATAACTAACTAAAAAAGCAAAAAGCAATCCCATTCATAATAGCCACACAAATAAAATATGTAGTAATAAAATTAACTGAGGAAATTATAGACATCTGCAATGATAATTGGAAAACACTGATGGAAAATTGAAGAAAGCATTAAAAGATGGAAAAACCTCCCATGTTCATGTATTAGAGTAATTAATATTGTTGAAATTAATATTATTAAAATATTGTTAAAATTAAAGTTAAAATATTAACAAAGACTTTCCAAGATCAGTAAAAGCTGAAGGAATTCATGGCTACCAGACAAACATGACAGATGCTTAAAGAAGTCTGACATTCAGGAATGAAAGAATGGTAACTACCATCATGATAGCATATAAAGGTATAAAACCCACTAGAAACATAGATACACAAAATATAAATAGAAAGGAGTCAAACATTATTGGTAACAATAAACCGTCAAACCACAAAGATAAAGAGAGCAAGAAATGAACAATCTACCATATCATGCAGCTATCCCATGCCTGGCCAAAGGAAATTAAATCAGTATACCAAAGAGATACTTGGATGCCCATGTTTATCATGGCATTGCCCATAATAACTAAGATATAGAATAAGCCTACATGTCCATTCGTGATGAATGGGCAAAGAAAATGTAGTACATATATAGACAAAGCAGTATTATTCAATCATAAAGAAGAAAGAAATCCCACCATTTGCAGGAAAATGGATGGAACTGGAGGATATTATGTTAAGTGAAGTAAGCTACCCAAAGACTGTATATTTTGTCTCATAAGTGGAAACTAAAAATAGTCAGCCTAAAAGTAGAGTAGGACTAGCAACTGGGAAGGATGTCAGGGGTGATGGAGGTCAAGGGTAGAAAAAGAGTGGTTGGATATCATAAATGCACACTGAGTCCAGGTATGGAAATAGCACATTGATTCCCACTAATATTTAGAAGTAATATGCGTTAATGGAAAAAAATTGCATGTTGAATATATCTTTTTAGTTATATATATATATTACATATATTTTCTCATATATATATATATATATGTTTTGTTTGTTTGTTTGTTTTTTTGTACTGGGAATCGAACTTGGGACCTTTCGCTTGCGAGGAAGACACTGGAACCACTGAGCTAAATCCTCGGCCCAACTCCTATATAGTTTAAAGAACAGAATTTCTAGGCTGTTCACTTTATCAAGTCAGTTGTTTTTAAACTTTTTTTGCTTATTTCAAAGACATAAAAACATTTTACTTTATTACTTAGGAAGTTGAAAATCTCATCTTCTACATTTGAGATCTGCAAACCTCCTGAGTTTAATTTCTGCGTGTTGTGTGAAGTAGTGGTCAAAATTCACTTTTTCATGTGGAAATCCATTTGACCCACCACATTTGTTTGAAGAGAAAACCTGTCACTTTATCACTGCTGTGCAGCTTTTAATTATAAATTAAATCTACATTATATATGAATTGATTTCTGGATTCTCTTTGATACTATGTGGCTTTTTCTATTTATTATGCTACTGGTAGCATATTCTCTTAATTATTGTAGATTTATTGTAAGTCTTGGTGTCTAGTAATAAGAGATAACATTGTGCCAATAGAAAACAGCGAATCAGTTTAAGTAACTAGATCACTTTAGGTATTTTCTCATTTTTGAAAGAATGTATTTAATTTTATTGTTACAAAATAATGTGTTCATTATCTTGAAAAAATGAATAGCAGAAAACTATAAGATTAAAATCATCCATAGTGCTTTTTATAATGACATTTCTATTTTACATTTCTAGTCTTCTCTTTTTGTCTTCACATGAGATATATTAGATATATCTGCAATTATTTTCAAAATTGGAACTATAGTGCATGTCAGTTGTCAATATTTTTGTTTGATATTATATGTTGAGTCTTTTCCCATGCATAGCATTAAATATTCTCGAAGCATGATTCTTAATAGTTTCATAGCACTAAATATTTTTGAAGCATGAATATTTTGGGTGCATGATACTCTATTTTTTTATCAATCTCCTTTATCATTCTGCTTGGGGGCACTTATAATTTCTTGCAAAGTTTCTGGAAACCCAAAATACTCTTGGAAATAGATCATATATGTAATTTATAAAAATATTTATCTTCTTTTTGCCTGCTTTAACTTTGTAGCAAGTTGTCATTTGTTAGAAGTTAATGGAAGGCAATAGAGCACTGTACTGTGAGTCAGAGAGACAGACACTAGATCCAAATTTTATTATACATGAACTATCATAGGATTGTAAATCACCTACCTTTATGTATTTAGATTCCTCAGTGTCAATAGAAGAAAAACAATTGTTCTCACTTATTTGATGCCTTTTTGTAAGAACTTCAAGCATTAGAAAAACTAAATGTTTGAACCCCTGGTGAACACAAACATGGTTTCAAACTCACTTCAGAGCACTGAGAAATAGCTTGTTTCTTTTCCCATTATTCTGGAATAATAAAACTTTTTACTAAACAGGTGAACACACTGCTTCTAACAGAACCAGAACGAATCTATTCTGAAAAATATTCATGGGACTCTAGTATTGTTTTCATATATTCTTTTAAAAATATTATCTTAGTTTATTAATACTTGTGTGTACTACATATTGTTTACATTTCTTGTGAGAAGGTGGTACATGTACAAAACACATCAAAATTCCTTTTTCATCTCTTTCCCTTCCTTCCCTCCCTCCTCCACCCATTTCTTGATCCCCTTCCTTTACACATTTTCAGTACATAATGTTTGCACTCTTTGTGTACAGCTGGTACATGTATTCTTTTTTTGAGGCCTTGTCAAAGGACTGGGAACAGTATCAGAATTGTTTTTTGAACTGAATGTCTTATTTCCAGTGTTTTCAAATATGCTTCCCACAGGGATTAAGTATCCTCATATATGTCATTTTTAGTGCCAAAAGGAGGCTTGAAGTAAGAATTGCTTACAAAAACCCCTTCTTGGATGGCTAAATCACTCAAAGCCTTTAATCTTCTCTTTCTCGTCCCACTTTCCTTAGCCTTCTCCGAAGTTGCTCACAGAAAGAATTCCACTCCACCTTCTCTTGATGTAAATCAAAATAGTCCTCCTTCTGGAGCCACCGGGTGAGACGGTGATAGCTGTGTAGTTTCTGCCTATCTATAGGCTCTACAAACGGCAGCAGTAGGCAGCCTGTCCCGAGCCTGGCCACCAAATGGTAGGTGGCAAGCCTTAACTCCAGATTGCACCAGGTACTTTTCAGGGCCTGACAGCTGAGCACACAGAGAATAGCTCTGCTAGTTTCTATGCTGGCAACTATGGCATCCATTCTGTCCTGCCCAAGGCCAAAGTCTCTTGCTGGCAGACATAGCCTCAAGCCCTCACCTGTCGGAGGAGGCTTCTCCAGGGCAGGAACCAGTTCTTCCAGTACCCAGGGTTGGTCCTGCTCACAATAGGATATAAAGACATCATAATAGAATTGCCTTCTGGGGCCACTCCCACATAATTTCCACCACCAGGCCTGAAAATGATTCCAGAGGTGGTGAAGCCAGTACCACTTGGGACAGCCAAGCAGTGCAAGGATGGACATCAGGAATACAAGAGTGAAGCTGGCAAGAAGGCCCTGAAACTCGGGATCATGTGTGCAGTGATCAGAAAAGAAGGAGAGCAGTGGAGCCTTGGAGTAGTCAGAAGCATTTGCCATGCAGATGGATTTCTCCAGCCCATACACAAAGTTGTTGGGAGCCCACCCAAGAGCTTTCACACTGGCAGGTGAAGGTGACATTTGAGAAATAAACATATTGTGGCATCTGGGGGATTAGCTCTTGAAGGCTACTGTCCAACCCTAGGGTCAATTCAGAGTTGAACAGCAGCAACCGGAGGTGACCCAAGTCCTTGAAGGTGGACATAGAGAGGTTCCAAAGATTCAGGTGGCTCAAAGCCAACACCTGTAATTGAGGCACTTCCTGCAGAAATGTCTCCAGCTTCACTGAACCAAACTCAGAGAGGAAGTTTAGGTCCCCCAGCTCCAGCACTTGAAGCCTGGCCATGCCAAACAGACACATGTTCTCCATGTCCCCATTATCAGACCAGAAGTGCAAGTGCTCTAGGAGAGGAAGCTGTGGAAAAAATTTCTGGGGCCTATGGCTTGAGAAAATGTAGGGACTGACACCTCTCAGAGTGAGGTGACGCAGGGAAGGGAAATAAACTGTAGCATTGCTTGGATGCAATAGCACAAAGGAAGTTTGCAAGGTAAGATTCTCCAAGAACAAAAATGGTTGTTCATTGTGGACTATGAATTCGACCCACGTTGTTGCCCATACCTCCAAGCTGAGCAGTGCGGGGGGCCAGGGAGGGTAAATCTGCAGCTCAAGAAGAGAGCCCAGCTGCAGATAGCTCAGCTTGTGGGGACCCTGGAACTGTTTGCCTGGGATATACTCTAAATAGGTGCCCAGGAGGTTCAGTGAAGTGAGGGCAGGAAGAGAGGACAGCCATCCTGGATTTAGAATCTTAATTTGGTTCCAACTCAGGTCTAGTGTCTTTAGCCACCTGAGTCCCTCTAGGCTTCCATTGGTTAAGTTGGAGAGGTTGTTGCGACCCAGCCAGAGTTCCGGAAGTTGAGGAAGAAAAGAGAAGACCCCATATGGCAGATTACAGAATTCATTGTAGGACAGATCGAGCACTCTCAGGTTTGTACTAACCAGCCCATCTGGGAGGACCAAGGTTGAGCCCAGATTATTCATGGACAGGTTGAGCCTCTGAAGCTGGGGAAGGGCACTCAGGAACCCGATGGGAAGTGATTGCAGGTCATTATCATGAAGACTGAGGAGTTCCAGGGAGTAGCAACTTGCAAGATCTGCATCCTCTATCTTTTGGATTTGATTCCTCCCAAGGTCAAGGGCACGAAGTGCAAAGTACCCTGCCACACTCCCAGGCAGCTTTGTCACACCTGTACCCACAAGAGAGAGGAAGTCCAGATGGAGCAGCCCTGAGCCTAGGAGGCCTAATAAACTTAACGGGGTGCTATCCAATCTTAGAGAATGCATCTGGAGGCCATCCAGGGATCTGATACCTCCCTGGCTCAGCTGCAGGTTGGATGACAAATCCAGCACCTCCAAAAATGATACCAATGGTCTGGGGCTGGCTGTAGGAGAGAAACCATGCAGAAGATTTGGGAAGAGCCCCTTCAGTTCCTGCAGCTTGGTCAAACAGCTGTGTCTCAGGGTCAGACAAGTAAGGCTGATTGGCAGCTGGATGTCCTAACTATAATTTAAGCAGTAGCCTTGAAAGGAAAGGCTATTAAGTAATATGAGGGGCTCCAGAGCATCTGGAGGGAGAAATAGATTCAGGCAACAGGGAGCATGATGTTCAAAGTAAAGGTATTGCAGCTGGTCCAATCCTTCAAAGGCCTTAGAGGCAACCTTGAGATTGCCCAACTGCAGCCTCAGAAGCCGTAGGGAGGGGAAGTCACCAAAGGCATTGGCTGGAAGGACAGGAACTATTCCTTGGAGGCAAAGCACTTCTCTATCCCGGGGCACTGCTCTCAGGGTCTGAGCTACATCTTTAACATTGGAGCATGATGCAAAAAGGTGCAGTCGTGGGGCCAAGGAACAGAATGGGATGTAGTAGGAGAGGTTAGCCAGTAGGGAGCTGTCTGCGATGGTGCAATCAGGTGTAGTCCATGCCCAGCTTACTAAGCCATGGCTCACGAAGGCCAACAGTAAGAGAGGCAGGAGAGCAGAGAACAGAGGTTTTTCCATCCTTGGTACTTCTTCTAGGAAAAGAGAGAAAAGAGTAAGAGTGTCAAATCTTACACTAATGGACAATCCCATCCCAGGGCTTCTGATATACATAACATCTGTAGGATTTCTCAGACATATTGGAGAAACAGCTCTGTGATTGTGATAGTAATGAGACATTTGACTGAATAGGGGACTCAAGTTATATTCACTCACAATTGGCTCCATGTGGATAGAGAGCTAGGGGAGACAGAAACAGAGAAGGCAGAGAGAAGGCCCAGATATTCTTAGCTTATAGTAAATTCCGGGAGAGAAACAATGTTTCCCAATCTTCATGTTGGGGATAGATAGCTTAGATTCTTAAGTTCTTTGGAGGCAGCAAATTTACTTGTCTTATCTCCTAGCCTCTGGCTTCCCCCGAAGAGAGGCAAGGTCTCTATATAGGGACAAATCTTTTGCTTTCTTTTCTATCAATTCCACTAACTGCTCTTCCACTTTGTCCACAAAACTCCCCTGGCACAAGAGCAGAGCAGTGTATTTACCTTTGTGCAGAAGAAAAGTATGTCGGTGGAGACAGAGTTGATGTATTTCAGAAAAGATTTCTTATCTTCTCCTGCAGCACAGCAGTCAAGACCTTCTCTCCTGTGACTCTTCCACCATGGGCCCAGCTCTGTTGTGTATGAGTGTGACACTCCTGTTATTAGCTGAGGTGGGGAGGTCCAGGGAACAGAAGAGAGGGCTTTGTTAACCTCCTAACATCTCCCCAAACCACACTATTTTCTCTTCCTTTTCTCTCCCAATGACTTTTTCTATTTTATGATTTCCCTTTTCCTCATTTAGTTTAGGAATTTAAGTTCTCATTTACTTTGTATCATATCCTCTTGAAGTTTGAAAGAATAGGTCCTTCTTTATTCTCCAGGACAGTTTTCTTCTCTGAAATAAGAGTGATCCATCTCCAACATTTCTACCCTTCCTTCTCTCTGTGCTCTCCAGAAGTTTTAATGTCAAGCTCATTTAAGCCAGAAAGACTAAATAAAGGAAAACCTAAAAACTTACTGGAAGGGATTCTTCCTTCCCGCTGAGTTTGGAAGTACAAAGTAAAGGGAGAAGAGGAAAGGCTTATTTCTGTGTAAACAGTAGAATCTTGTTTTCCAGAGCATGTGGGCCCTGGAGAAATCTCTGGGAAGGAAGCCATAAAACCAGAATTGAGTTGTGGTAATTTATTACTCCAATGGAAGGAAGATCCCCATATTTAGATTATTATATTGACTAAGATCTGTTTTGAATACTTGTTGTCTGTTTTTGCAGTACCAGTGATATAAGTTTGATTTGGGAGATATTTAAGTAGTTCTCCCATCTCTGGTCTTGAGCATCTTAGGCTCTGTAGTATCCCAAATTTTTAATTACATTTTTGTATTCAAAACTTTTCTGTGCACTAAATTGTTTCTCTTGCTGTTTGTATATAAAGCCTTGCTTAAGAAGAGGATCAACCTACTAATGGTAGACTTTTGAGAAAAAGGGGCCACTTCTAAACTTCCACTGCTGTATTTGTCTTGCTATTTTATGCTTACTACAATTTCAATTTTATTCTAGTGACAATGTGCTCAGCTCAAAAATTAAATGTTGCAGCCTCCCTTGTTACTGGTAGTCATCTTTGAAATATATGTTCAAGCAATAGCATAAGTGGTACATAGGTTTGCTTCTGTTTTGCTATTTGAACCTTCTGTTGCTGGCTTCAGATAGTAAGATGTCTTTGAGGAAGGAAACATATACTAAGAAAGATTTATTAAAATAAATAAGAGGGGCTGGAGATTTAGCTCAGTGGCACTGTGCCTGCCTCACAGGTGCAAGGTCCTGAATTCGATACCCGGTACCCAAAAAATTAATTAATTAAATAAATAAATAAGAGCCTGGTTCCTTGATAACATTCTGAAACTGTCTACCTCTGACTGGTATGGCTTGATTACCCCTAGAAGTGTTCCTATGGGGTGAAGAAGCTTAAAAACCCACCGTAGATGAGATATACATGTTTATCATAGAAAAATCAGATATATATTAAATTAAAGATGAAACAAAGAATCTAACCTTACCATGACTTCATAATTATGTAAGATTATATAATAATTTTGTTTCACAGCCTTCCTTTTCTACTCAATAACATATTTAGCATATTACATTTTTTCGCAAGTCTTCAAATATAAACCTCTTCATTATCTTGAAACAACTCATCTCTCCTTTACACTATTTCTTTCTGGAATAAAACCAACCCTGTGGTCTGCATGGACATGTGGTCTTGAAGGCAGATACACAGGACTCAGCCATGGTTCCCAGGAGAGGGTCCACAGCTGAGCAGAATTCTTACTGAATTTAAGTGAGTGTAACTTGTTCCTTCACTTATCATATGTGGCCTTAGACATATATTTGCTTTTCTAGCTTCATTATGAAATAAGTGTGGAAATATTTATCCTACTATGTGACAAAAATTGTAAAGATAAACTGAGAAGCTATGTGAAAGTGTAAAGAACTTTATAAATGAAAGACATTATATCTGGGCCTGGTGACTCAACCCATAATTCCAGCACTCTAGGAAACAGGTAGGAGGATACAGTACTGGATAAAAAAAGGCATTGATAATATTGATCAAAACCAATTCCAAACTATTACATAGAACATAGGTTTCTACTTCATTTATCCAACACAGCTATTCTTAGACATAAGTATTGTTATTAGTTCTATTATAGAGATTAAAGAAACCTAGGTGAAAAGGTCAAATAATGTAGATTTGAAACCAATCTATCTGATTTCAGAGTCTTGGCCCTTTTCCTATTTAGTAGTGAAGACTGTGGATTCCATAGTTAGCCTGCCTTGGATCAGATGCTGTGTTCTATTAAGCAAGTTAATCTTTGTGTTGGTTTCATTCTCAGTAATTTTTATTTAAATTTTTATTTTTGTTATGTTTTAAAAGTTAGTATATGTTCAAGATACATAATAACTACATTAATCTTGGGGAACTGGTCACCTTAATCATTTTTACTCTCCACTTTGCCTCCCCATCCCCAGGTTCATTTCCATTTCCACAGCCTACCTGTCTCAGTAATTTGGAGGTAAGATACTATGCACTTGACTTCTTTGAGCTGTCATAAGTAGTAAATAAAATAGCATACAGAAATGACTTTCAACAGTGACTCCAAATGTTTATTTTTTTAATGTTGCCAAAAGTGTGATAACTTTGCACATCTAAACTCATTAAATTAATACTTTCATGCTCTCTGTTTCCTGGGAATATTAGTTCATTCACCCCATGTCCTAACTTTTCAGGGAATCTTGAGTGTACATAATGTTTGGTTGTATAAAAGAGAATTAATTGTAATGAAGATGGGTTGGGTGTGTGGTCAGCATAATAAGTATTTACACACAATGACTCATATTAATAGTAGAAAATACTAGCTATTCTCATTTCCCCTGAAGAAACCACTAACCAGCACAGTCATTTTAAATAATGTCACCATACTATGCTCTTTTGAAAGTCTAAATGTTCAGGAAAAAAAAACCTTTTTATTTTTGTGTCTAGTATTCATTTTCTCTCCTCCCTTCACATGTGAAATGCAGTTTGGCTTGAAAAAATATGATGCATGAATAGTAGTGTAATTAATTTAGTACTGTGGAAAAAGCTGTGAACCAATATAGTATCTGGAGTTCTAACAATAAACTGAAAAGGTAGTGGCTGTGAAAATATTTTAACTTGGTAACTCATGGTAAGGAGTCTGAAATTATTATGGAAATACTTTCTGTCCTAACCATTTGTTCTTCCTGAGCTCTTTTTTGATCAGTCTCAGGAAATTTAAGTCATATACCTGGAAAGGAGTATAGAGATAAGAAATATTCCCAATAGACTACATAAGGAGATGTATATGCCAGAATTCTGATAAATAAGATTGTCCAAGGAGCTTCTTACATCAAAAGAAGAAATAGTTTTCTCTACCTGGAATGTACATGCTAAAATTTACATGTGCATTCTTACATTTTGAACTGAGAAATCATCTCTTTCCCTCCAAAGTTTTGTAAGACAAAAGATCAAAAATGAAAATTGTTGTGTGCACATAGTATTTGGGAAATATTCTTATGAAAAATCTTTACAAAGATCTTATTGAAATATTATTTTATAACAAAAGAGTGGAAGTAAACATGTTGTAGTAGAGATTGGTAGTAGATGGAAATAGGATGTTGGAATGTTCAATAACCTTCCCTGGTTGCCTCAGTAGTAATTCTATAAGAGGTCATTCTTATAGTTGTGGTATTCCTTTCTCTCCTAACCTTCCTTCTGAAAATTCCCTTTCTTATATCCTTTATAAGCCATTTTTTAGCTCCTCGAAAGAAAGGCCCTACTTCTAAAAAAAAGTTCACATCAACAGATAAAAATTCAGAATCCATATCATACTTGTTCAATAAGATATTATAGTTATTAACAGTAAAAATCACTCTGACTTTTTGTGATGGAAAATGGATATACTTTGATCTAAAATTGTGGATTTGCAACAAAAAATCTTGCCTATTATGAATCTCCAGCTACTATGATCCAAGGTGATAATTAAAATATTTTTAATGTCACATTATGATTACAAATTTTAGCAACACTAGGCAGGCTTGCTAGTCAGATAAAAGTATATGACGTATGAAATTTGTAAAATGATGAGGAAGGAAACTATTGCATAAATATATACAATATAATCAAGAAGATTATAGTTTCTTAATTTTCATAACTATAGGAACATGGATATAAAATATATTGCATCAAATAAAATTGAAGAAAGCACAACAAATAATTATAAAGGCTTATTATAAAATTAGAATAAGTTCAATATTACAAATAAAACAGACACATGGTGATTGAATTCTAGATGCTTTTTTCCTTTAAAAAATATTCCTTATTTTTTTCACACTGTTTCAATAACAATAATGAATTGTTATTTGTGTTTTGAACTGTAGCAATTTATTGTCAAATACAAATTTTACTCTCCAAT